GTTTTTTCTGAAAATTTTGATGTTTTATATTTTCCAGCGGATATTTGCTCCGGTAATCCACCGGTTTTTTAAAAATAATAATAATAATAATAATTGTTGTTGTCGTTGTCGTTGTCGATATTATATCCATTATAGGCCAATACGACCAAATAAAGTCAATAGAACCGTTAAAGCCCAACTAACATATATTAAAGCCCAAATAATATCCATTAAAGCCCAATAGAACCGTTAAAGCCCAATTAACATTCACTAAAACCCAATAGATCCATTAAATTCCAATAGATCAATTGAAGCCCAATACGATAAAATAAAAGCCCAATTTATTCATTAAAGTCTAAATCACATCCATTTGAAGCCCAATAGAAACGTTAAAGGCCAACTAAATTCATTGAAGCCCAATAGATCCATTAAAACCCAACTAACATCCATTAAAAACCCAACTAACATCTATTAAAGCCCAATAGAACCGTTAAAGCCCAACTAACATCCATTAAAGCTCAATAAAACCGTTAAATCCCCAATTACCATCCATTAAAGTCCAACTAACATTCATTAAAGCCCAATAGAATCGTTAAAACCCAACTAATATCCATTGAAGCACAATAGATCCATTAAAGCCCAATAGATCAATTAAAGCCCCAATACGACCAAATAAAGTCAATTGTATCCATTAAAGCTCAATAGAATTGTTAAGTCCAACTAATGTCCATTGAAGCCCAATAGATCCGTTAAAGCCCCAATAAATCTTGTAAAAACTCAATAAGAACCATAAAAGCACAATATAACCATTAAAGCCCCAACTAACATCCATTAAAGCGTAATACGTGTTTGTGAGAATACATGTACTGCATATGAGCATGTGGTGTATTGGGCTCAACTAAGACCCGTTAAATTCAAATCAGACTTTTTAATAGGTTTAAAGACAATAATAACAATGACATCGGATAATGTGTTTGTGTGTAGGTATGTATTCTATATATGTATGTGTGTGTGTTGGACTCGATAAGAGAATTTTTATCCACTATACATTCTATATGAAATATATACAATATTTTGCATATATACAAAACAAAACGTATGAAAAATATAAAAAATCCGCCGTAAATCAATAATTTTTTTTATTTTAACAATCTTGAATAAATATTTATTATTTTAATTTATCGGCGGCTTACCGGCAGCCACCACATCTGCTGGAAATCCGTCGGAGATTTAAAATAATAAATTTTAATTTTTAATTATTTTCCAGCGGGATTTCGGACAGATGTTAATTTAAAAAAATAATAAAAAATTCGCCGGTAACTTATTGTAATCAAAGTCAATTATTTCGTAAAAATTTAATTTGTAAAATCCACCGGCATTTGGTGTTAGTAATTTATGGCAGAATAATCCGCCGAAAATGCTCAGTTTTCTAGTAATGTAGGTTTCAATGGTTACGGGTACCTCAATAAAAGTATATGACCAATGTATGTAAATATCATGTACTGTTGTGAATGTCCCAATAATATTTTATAGATAATATCATACGTTCGTCATGGATTTAAGAGGTCACTACGTATCTTTTAGCGAAGTAACAATGTTCTTAACAACGGAAGCATAACACAAATAGATGAACTTAGAAGAGGAGACATTCCTAACAAATGGGTTATAGTTTGATCAGGAAATCTTCGTCATGAACCAAGGATTAAGCTACTGTATATGAATTTTCGTAGATAAGAGCATTCACAGTTTAGAGGTAAATTATTGCATATGATACTGTTTTGGTGGACTAAAATCTTACCCGGTAAGTAACTGATAATGTTAAATTATATTAAAGTTGTTTATTTTTATAATATGTTTGACAGATCTTTTACAACTTTTTGGAAACAAAGAAAATATATAAAAGGATAAGAGCATCTCCTACAGCTATGCTAAAATAGAAATTTTGAAGATTTAACAATTCTTTTTACTCCAACAACAATGCTAAAACGTATGTTAAAATAGATAAAACAAGAGCATCTTCGACCAATAGCTATGCTATTATTTTTCTAAATAAGAGTATTAAAAGTTAAAATCTCTTAAACAATTACGTCCAACACCAACAACTACTGTACATTAACAATCATATGATTAAGTATATTATTACAATATTCAGGATATTTAATAAAAATATTATTTCTCTTCTAAATAGTTAATTTCAATATCTCTTAAGTTGTGTTTGATATCCGGATAGAATAAGACAGAACATGATAGGACATGACAAAACAGAATAGATCAAGACATGACAGAAAAGAATAGTTGTTCAGTGTTTAGTAAGACAGAACTGGACATAAAAAATCAAGTAAAATGATCAATTTACCTTTAATAAGTTGTTTATACATTTTGATTAATTTATGTAATTTATTAAATTATAATAAAATAATTATTTTTTATAACAAAATATATTAGTAGAAAGTTTTCATTAAAACAGTTAAAATGAATCAAAATAAAAAGTTTATGTAGTTTTCAATTTTTATTTTATTCGTTTTCTACATTATTTATTATTATTAATATATAATAAATTATATAAATTAATAAAAATATAGAAACCGTATAAAAATAATATTTTCAAGACGCTAAAAATGTAAAATGAAAGTTTAAAAAACATAGAATACAAATAAAATTTTAAGAATGGATAAAATGTAAACATGAGACCTATTTCATGTTTTAAAAGAGAAATTCAGTTTTATTTTGAGGTTATATTGGTAAATATAAGTTTGTTCCATGGGGTAGGGGTGGAAAATGTTTGTTCCACTATGTTACTGTCTGTTCCACATACAAGTAGGGGTGCTCAAAAACCCGATGAACCAGATAAACCCGACCAACCCAACCCGAATTTAAAAAAAAAAAATCAACCCGAGGTAACCCGATGCATGATTGATAAAAAAAATTAGCCAACCCGACCTTATTGGGTTGGAATCGGGTCAAACCCAAAAAAAACCCGACCAACCCGACCTTAACTTTAGCTTTGAATTGTAGATGACAATCATGACATGACCAACCTCAACGTCAAGAAAGCGAAAGCATCGGGGTTGGAAACGTCTAAAACTATTGTTGTTGATTGATGTATTATCATTTGGTTTAAACATTTTTATTGTAATATCTAAATATTTGATGAACTTGCATATTATCTTGAATGGTCGGTCRTATTTCAAAGGAAAGTTTTCTTTATTTTTATGTGATTTTACATTGTTTAAACACAACCCGATCAACCCGAACGAGTTGGGTTGGGTTGGGTTGAACTTTTGTTTGGGTTGGATTGGGTTGAACTTTTGTTTGGGTTGAGTTGGGTTGAAAATTTTCAAACCGCCAATATTGGGTTGAGTTGTTAAAACGGCTCCAAACCGATCAACCCGGGCCGTGAACCCCCCTACATACAAGTCTACCAAACATGGAAAATGTACCCCTGATCATCTTTGGCCAATAGCTATGCTATGAATTTTTCTATACATATCGATATGTTTTATTCTGTCATGTTCAATGTACCAAACACACTCTTATTAGTGAGAGAGAATTAAATATTGTTTCGTTCTCTTAAATATGGTGTTTCAGAGATTTCTCCAAATTTAGAGATTTTTATCATTTTTTTTTTTGTTTTCTCTATTTTAGCATACATTATAGCATAGTTGTTGGAGTAAAAATATACCAAAATCTCTATTTTATCATAGCTGTTGGAGGTGCTCTAAAATAGACATAGTGAAAATCTTCATACTTGGAGAAATCTTTAAAACTTTATATAAGAGAGAAATAATATCCTAATCATTTCCGACCAATAAGAGCTAATGAAAATAAATGTTTAGAGTAGAAAAATAATATTTTATAGAATATATCAAATACTTTAATAATATAGTTAATGCTACAAAAATTAGGGGTGAACATGGTACTGTACCATTTGGTTTTCCAAATACCATGTACCAACCAATTATAATTGGTACGTAAAATTATATATCATGTACCAACCAATTATACTTAGTACCAACTAAATTGCTACCAACTTTATCTGGTTGATACATGTTGGTACCATTTTGTATCAACTAAAAGTTGAAGTTACAAATTTATTTATATTAACATCTCTGACAACTAGATTTAGATACACTAAAACCATCGAGTATCCAGATAACATGTCGATATGTATTGTACCACTTACTTATACAAACATTCAAATAATTTTCATATAATATAACCATTCACTGGTAATATAATACAAACGGCCCTTGAGAAGCAACGACGGACGATGGAGGTGTGAACGAGTAAGGTTATAAAGGTTAGACGAATGAATTCAATCAAGTTTTATCTACTCATCTATATTATAATTTAGCAAAACTAAAAATAGGAATGTCTAAAATTCAAAATCAAAATATATTGTATTATATTAAACTTTAATTAATAAATAATTAAAAAAAATCGGTACAATACAGTATTACCGTAATACACAATTTCTAATATCACGTATCAACCAAGTTTAGATAGTTGGTACGATACTACCAACCAATTATATTGGTATTGGTATCAATTATTGAAGATGCTTTAAACATTTTTTAATTTAAAAACTTTTCTAAAATTAAATATCAAAGAGATAAAGATATTATTCTATTGTTTTCTTAATAAAGATCTAATATTTTATATAAGATTTATTTGAAATTAATGGATTGTTTGTTTAATTTTTAATAGTTCTATTAAAAGATAGTTTTTGAATTATTAAGAGGTAAATCTTGTTTGATAATTTTTTTTTTGCCTCTTAACAGTAATAAAACTGTCTGAATGATTTTGTATCATGAGCCTTTTTTAACCATTAAACGTTCTAATTTCATCGTAAATAATTACTAAATAATTATATTTTATTTTGTATTATATTATAAGAGCTTTTTAATTATTTTAACCACTTAATCATTCTAAACCAAAACATTTAAAGAGCCAGTTTTTTATGCCAGTTTTTTATTTATAAGTTTTTGAAAAATTAGAGAAAAATAGTTGAATACAACAGAGGGTAACCGGTAGCCCCATGGTTCGTTCGCCTCTGAAGACAGCCATTGGAGATCTCTTCCTTCACCTTCAGAGCTTCAACAGTGACTACCTACCTCTACTCTCCAACTGCTGCCTTTCTAGGTAAAGTACCCCCATCTCTCTCTCTCTCACACTCCAACAACATATCATCTAATGTCAACACTAGTAATCACAAGATTCAACGAAGTCTGTGATCGATTTTAAACTATTTGATGGTCTAAATTAGTTTATACAGCTTCAAATGCCACTTCTGTATGAAACTTTGGTACCGATGTTGAACAATTTAGGAAAAAAAATTAACAAATCCCTTGAACTAATTGAGAACAAGTACCGCAAGTTGAATAATTTTGTTATGCTTGGAATGAATTCTATATCGGTTTTGCATCGGAAAAGTTCTGGGTTCAATGAACACATGAAAATGTGTATTATTTCCGGTTTGGTGTTTATAAGTTTTAGTTGCCCTCTTCTGGAATTTTGGAGAAAGTGAAGGGAAGTTGGTCATGCCATGCTAGGATAAGATTGCGGTTTGAGTAAAGTGTTCTTTTGTGTTGAGTCTATCATCTATGATTTCCTTTTGTCTGACTTCAATTTCATTTGTGACAGCCCTAGTTGAAAACATTCAAGAAGATATGGCAGTGTAAGTCTTCTACCTAAAGTTAAAGTTGTTAACTTTAGCAATGCACTATACCATCTTCATTTTGAAGCTTATGATTCATTTCAACCTTTGTGGTCGGATAAGTCAATCGTAGAACCCAAAATAGACATTTCCCCAAATTATATTGAAAATTTAAAGTTTTAGTTATTAATAAACTTTCATACATTTAAAACATGTAAACTCAAGCATCTTTATATCAATCTTCGATAAGATAATAACTTGTATAAAGAAAAATGTTTTTAATTTTGCATGAATGGGGCAATGGTTGCGGCATATGTCACTTCTGGAACAATATTTGACCATGAAAGAATTTGTAGTCTACTTTGTTGTGAAACTGATTCAGTTGGAGCATTAAGTTGTGTGTCTGGCGGTATAACTTACGTTTATTTTCTGCTGACTATTCTTTTTGTTAGGATTGCATCTGCTCCTGGGAAGGTTCTGGTTACTGGAGGTTACCTGGTTTTGGAGAGGCCTAATGCCGGGATTGTACTAAGTACAAATGCTCGATTCTATGCAATTATTAAGCCACTTTATGATGAACTTAAACCAGACAGTTGGGCTTGGGTGCGTATTTTCTGTGAACTTTAGTGCTTATTATGCTTACTTAGGAGATCTTATATTCAACTATCACTTACATGAGTTCTATAATTCAAATTACTATGGCAGAAGATCCTGATGAAAATTTAGCTGATATTATAGGGTAGTAATATTACATATGTTAACTTGTTAATGATCACCAAGTACATATTTTTTTCCTGTCCCATCTATTTAATCTACCATCAACAATTATTCTTATATGTCAAACATTAAGAAACTCACTTTTATGACTGTAAGCTTCAGTATGCCAAAGCCAACAATGCAAATGGCTGATCTGGTGTGGAATTTTCTTTTACTTTCTGTTCAGCAAAGAACTGAGAATTGGAAACTATCTGCTTATGGAAGTAGAAAAACAAAATCACAATTACTTCTTTTCTCCTGCTGTTTATGTATTTAGTTTTATCAACTCCATGTGTGATTGTCGCTTATCTTCAAGACCAATATGGACATGTAAATCAATTATATAACCATGATTGCTTCCTAGATCTTATTCTTAAGCTCTTAACCTGTGCTTAGTTTATCTGGTAGCTTATTCATTCAGTATTTACCCTTCTTAGTAACCTTTCACTCTTTCAGTCATGGACGGATCTGAAGTTGACTTCTCCTCAGATGGACCGAGAAACTATATACAAAATGTCACTAAAGCACTTTATTCTTCAGTGCACTTCGAGGCAAGTATCTTCCTTCCAATACCGGAACTGGAGCATGATGTACTTTTTTGGTGCTCTATTTGTAAGCGTGTGCTCTGTGTATTAGGAATTTTCGGCTTTCCGTTGATTCACGTCTACTTTCTTCCCTTGAGTTATCCTGTATCGTTTCTGCACTAGATTGTTGTTGCTTTAGCCTTTATGTCTTTACCGCATTAGATTATCCTCTCTCTAGAACCGTAAAATTCCTACTTCACTTATTTATCAGTCTCCATGGTTTACCTTCGGAGCTCGATATACAAATCATACTGCATGCTCTAATGCATCATGAACAACTTTTGGTTTGTATTTCTCAGTGAAACAAGAAACCCTTTTGTGGAATATGCCGTGCAATATGCCGTTGCAGCAGCATATGCAACATTTGATGATGCCAAGAAGGATGTATTGCAGAAACTGCTTCTGCAAGGTGACTATTATTGGTTTAACTGTTTCCTGCTTTTATATTGAGGAAAATTTTCTTACTGTTTAAAGTCTAATATGCAATTAGTTGAGCAGGTATTGATATTACAATTTTAGGCAGCAATGACTTCTATTCCTACCGGAATCAGGTGCTCTTCCTTTTTCATAAGATACCTGAAATTAGCAAAATATGGTGTGTTTATATTTCTGGAGTGTATCGCCCTTTTGTTTTTTTCCTGGTTTTCATTCAACGTGTTTTTTCTTGTCAATGCGACCGCCACTATGCAATATCTAACAATTATGTACTACAGTTCGATGAAGAATTTTATGTCTATTTTCACCATTCCATAGATGGATGTAGATGTTCATATGCCTTCGTTTTTATCAGTGAACCTCTGATGTCACATTATCTGGTGAATTATATTTCTATGACCAATAGGACATCTAGTATTGCTGTTAAATCTTGTTTTTTTTCCACTTACCATATAGATTGAAGCACGTGGGCTCCCCTTAACCCCCGAATCCTTAGCATCCCTCCCACCCTTTACTTCGATTACCTTCAACTCTGGACAGTCAAACGGAGAAAATTCCAAGCCTGAAGTTGCAAAAACTGGTTTGGGTTCTTCTGCAGCTATGACAACGGCAGTGGTTGCTGCCTTACTAAATTACTTTGGGGTTGTTGATCTCTCATCTTATAGTGGAGCCCAACATCAAGAAAATTTAGACGTGGTGCATATCATAGCCCAAACGGCTCACTGCATGGCACAGGGAAAAATTGGCAGTGGATTTGACGTCAGTTCAGCTGTTTACGGAAGCCACCGTTATGTACGGTTTTCACCAGAAGTTATTTCTTCTGTGCAGGTTCTCTCTCTCTCTCAACCTCAATTAATCAGTCTTTATCTTCCTATCCACCTTCAAGTTTTACTGTTCAACAAACTCATCCCTGCGGCTTAATTTAGTGCTCACCCTTATGATAAGAGATTCTTTATTTGTATGAAAATCAAATATCTTTAAAACTAGACGTTATATGTAAACTGGATTTACTCGAAAATACGTTTTCTTTGGTTTCCGAAATCGGAATGTTTCCTCACTTGATCTTTCTGATTTGCAGGATGCAATCAGATTTATGCCACTAGAAGAAGTTATTGCTGAGGTCTTAAAGTGCAAGTGGGATCATGAGAGGACCAAATTTTCCTTGCCACCATTAATGAATCTGGTAAATGGCTGATTTATATCCAGGATTCCCTACTTGCAGATCATTTCATGCTTACAAACATCTGTAAGATCTTGACAGCATTAAACTTGTGGGCTTGGCAATTTATCTCTGTGGCTTTTTACAGATAATTTATAATCAACCCTCCTGCAAATTAATGAGTGCCTGTTGGTCATTGATCAAAGCTTGCATGGGTACCTTAAATTTGAAAACTTCCTGAAATAAGATTTCTTGTAGAAATTGGATAATACTCGTTCATGTGTCCATTGGCCTTTTTGGTATCTTCCTATTTCTGTAATGTACTCTGATTCTCATATATTGAAGTTATTATCTTTCAAGTTTATCCTCATATATTGCAGTGCCAAAACCTTTTCTTTGTCATGATTTGGACCTACCCTTGTAGGGTATATGTGGGAAATTTGGAACTGAAAAATATGAAACGTATCTATTTTATTGAACCACTAGTGTCATGCCTTAACGCCTTGTAGAGCAAAGAGGTAGCAGGTTTTTTATCATATGTTTTATACAGGAGAAGGGAATTATAAACTTACAAAAGGATGAGAGAAAATATGCAGAGTTGACAATGCGAGAACAGGTTTATCACTGGAATTCAGGGAAAGCGAACAGTAGTTGTATTACGGGACATGTTCTAAGACTTCTCTTTTTGTTTTTCTTGAATTGAAGTATTCTGTTGTTGGAGGCTTCTTAAAAATCTCCACTAGTCGAAAAAAGCTTCCTTCACTGTATAGTGTATTAATTCAAGTAAAATTTGTGGTCGTGTGATTTCGAAACTCTAGTCATTTAGCAGTTTGTTCAGTTTTATCTAACAGCACCTTAGTGACCCTACTGCATTTATAGTTACTAGGTGAGCCAGGTACTGGAGGATCATCGACTCCATCTATGGTTGGTGCTGTCAAAAAGTGGCAAAAATCTGACCCCCAAAAGTCCCTAGACATGTGGAAGAAGTTATCCGAGGCGAACACAACACTAGAAGCACAATTAAATTTATTGAGCAAATTGGCAGAAGAACATTGGGAATCGTATAAAAGTGTCATCTACAGTTGCAGCATGCATCAATCAGAGAAGGTAATTCATAAATTAATGTGAATGACTGTAATGTTTCTTCATTTTCTCTCTTTCAGTTCACATGTAATTAAAGGGTCAGGCTTCGTTTTCCTCTTTCATTGTGTTCTTTAGGCTTTCAAGTTGGTTTGAAGTTGCTAAACAAGTTACTTTTTAAGGTTCACATACTTCTTGTCATATGATATGCAAAGACGTAAAACTAACCCCAGAAGTGCTTATGCACCTCTCTTTTTTTCTTTTACTCGAATGAAAGTGGATGGAGCAAGCCAGTGAAGCAATTAGCCTTGAAATTGTCAAAGCATTGTTTGGAGCTCGGGATGCGATACTTAACATCAGGTGTCACATGCGGCAGATGGGGCAGGCTGCTGGAATCCCTGTAAATTCTCTTCTCCTCAATTAGACATCTTCACACACACACCTGTGCTATATTAAGGGCCTGTTTGTTGGAAGCTTAATGAGCTTAATTGGAGTCACAGCTTATTCAGTCAACTATACATGACTCTTTGGGAATGGCTTAATGATATAGAAAGTGGCTTATTTAGTAAGCTTCTAATGGTGAGCTTTATGCAGAAAGCCAAGTTTTTTTCCAAAACCTGCTCTTCCCATTAAAAAACATGTTCATTCCATTTATAAAAAAAACTTTCCCAATCTATACAGACGGATTAATCCACACAGACAGCTTTAACCATATAGGACTTAAATGGAAAATCAACCAAACATCACCTTAGCATCTGCTGTATGGATGTTTAATTTTTTTTTTGATAACCAACGGTGTGCAAGCCAGCTTTCACACACCTTGACTAATTCCGTGAGACCCTGAAGATAACAGCCAGGAAAGATCCCTAGTGGCCCTGAGGAGACTCGAACCGGTGATCTTTGGGGAAGAGCCCCAAGGCCTAGCCTTTATTTACTGGTTGAAATGACCATATAGCTACGTGTTCTTTTTCATGATTGATTTTGTTTCACGGAATGCAATTTGCAGATAGAACCCGAATCACAAACTCGACTTTTGGATACTACCATGAACATGCCTGGAGTCCTGTTGGCAGGCGTTCCTGGGGCAGGAGGGTTTGATGCTGTATTTGCAGTTACCGTAGGAGATTCGGGCAACAACCTGGCTAAAGTATGGAGTTCACACAACGTTTTAGCCTTGCTGGTAAAAGAAGATCCTCGTGGTGTTTCTATAGAGAATGCCGATCCTCGAACCAACCAAATTACATCAGGTATTTCTTCAGTTCGGATTGCGTGAACTGGCTTTTGTTATTTAATCCATGCGTCATAATTACCATATTTAGATGGTAAGCATGATTCAAATTGTTTCGAGATTAAGATAGGACGACCTTCCTAAAACCAATAAATCGATTTTATTGTTGAATTTTCTTCGAATATTGTAACACATAAATAAAGTAGGTGAGTTATGAACTTTGCATATCCAGAGCAGATTTAAAATGAAACTGTGTCTCTATTCCATTCTCACAACTATTTTACACTTTTCACCTCTTCATTCTTCGCTCACCTCTTTGCACCTTGTTGTTCTTGAAATCTCTTTGGAATCATGGAAGTGCCTCTTATAATAAATAAGTAGAGAACAACAAAAAGAAACACCCCATCACGGGGGCAGACTACTTTCAGTTTCATACTTTGACTTTTAGGGTGCATTTGGTACAGGAGATAATACATGACAGAAGAAAAACTTGTTGTCCCATGTTTGGTGGGACAATTAGACTGGGACCGGATAGGACTGAATGGGACAAATATGCTTTTCTCTGTTGGTAAATTACTAAACTACCCATGTCAAATTAAGATCCTAAAACCCTCCACAATGTTTTCACCCACCTACCTCGTTATCGCCTATCCTTTCTAGTCCACTTACCAAACACACCCTTAACGTCAGACAAACTGGTATTAGTTGACATGCATATAGTTAACTTTCGAGAGAAAAACAATAACTACATGATAAAGTACAAATTGCGACAAATGGAAAATAAAATTGAATCAATTACCAATGATCGTTACAAGAGCAAGATCCGTCTTCAAAATGGTGGAATCTATTTCTATCCCTAACAGTAATTCTTCTTTTGTAGATTGATGAAATCATTTTGGTATAAGTGTGACAGTCCTTACACATTCTCATGCTTCTAACTATGCTAATTGGTGAACCCTGTGAAGTATGTATCATCCCGAATGCAATTGCCAACTTCTGACTGTGTCTACTCAACCTCTCCCTCTTCTCTTCTTCATCTACATCGAGCAACACCTCAGATGTATCCGGAGAATACCCTTCAAACTTCAGCTGCCATTCCATCTGGTACACCATATCAGGTATTCCTTCGCTCTGAGGCCACAATAAGTCATTCGATACAAACTTGTAAACCTTTCTTTTCACCTGAATGAAGCTAAAACCAGGGGTTTTGGTCAACCCCTTTTGAGCCATTTCTCCACGAGTCAAAGCTACATGCTCCCATTTTCGAGCTTTTGCATACATATTTGATAGCATCACATAAGCACTTGCAGTTTGTGGGTTCAATTGTAGTAGCTTTTCTGCAACTTTTTCCCCCAATTCCACATCTTGGTGAACCCTACAAGCACCAAGTAAACTGTACCACAATACATCATTCGCTTCCATTGGCATGTTCTTTATGAACTCAAAAGCTTCTCTGACCTTTCCTGCTTTGCCCATGAGGTCCACCAAACACCCATAGTGGTGAATTGTAGGCTCAATTTGGTGTTCAACTTTCATCTTCTCAAAAAGTTGAAGACCTTCATGAACTAGCCCTGCATGACTACAAGCAGTCAAGACACCCACATAAACAACTTCATCTGGTTCGAAACCTTGTTCAAGCATTTCCGAAAATACGCTCAGAGCTTTGGTGCCACAACCGTGGAACGCCAAACCTGAAATCATGACACTGTAAGACCATTGGTTCTTGACATTCATTCTTTCGAAAATGGACAACCCCTTTGTTAAAGATCCACATTTTAGGTACATATCTAACAAGGAAGTCTCCATAATCACATTTAGTCCACTTAAGTTCTTTATCAAGAACCCATGAGTAGATCTTCCCAAATCTAAGGCACCCAAACTGGTACATGAAGATAGAACACTAACTAACACACTCTCTTCAGCCCTCCAACATTTTTGACTACTTAACTCATTAAAAAGACTAAGGCACTCACTCCACATTTCCTTACTAGCATGAGCTGCAATTAGTGCACTCCAAGAAGCCAAACTCTTATCAGTATCATCCATTTGTTCAAAAACAGAACAAGAATTCTTTATTTCACCACACTTCCCATACATACTTATCAAACTGTTCTGCACAAACACATCATCTTGAACTCCAATCTTGAAAACATGCCCATGAAACTGCATTCCTTCTTCAAGTCTGTGTAGATAAGCGCATCCTTTGAGAAGGGATGGATAGGTGAAGTTATTTGGCTTAATTCCCATTTCAAGCATTTGGTCATATAACATGACAGCTTCCTCTAGATTCATATCTTTGATATGCCCTCTGATCATTGTGTTGAATTCAAACGAATTGGGGCAGTCTAACTGCTTGAAAATCAAGCAGGCATAGTCCATACTGCCCCAATCCGATAGAGCACAAGTTGAGACCAGATTTCCTGTGCAAAAAGGACTCAAAACTAAACCCAATTTGAGAATTACACAATGGGATTGTTTCAGTTCTTCCATATTCTTGCATTTTTTCAAAAGAGAAATGCATTCTTGTTCTCTTGAACTGAAATCAATCGCTTTTCGGCAATGATGATCATCTTGTGGTTGTGGTAAGAATAGATTCTGGTGGACTGATGTCCCAACCATTCTGTCACCTGTACACCATTACTGTGTGTTGTTGTGTGTGTATGGTGTGGGGAAAGAAAGACAGATTCGTTGGGGGATTATTTGTGGCATGGCAAGATGTTTACTCTTGGAATGAAGAAAAGTTAGGAATTTTATCCGTCAATTGATGGGTATTTTCTGTTTTCCCTTGGGGGGGAATGGGGGATCTGATCCATTAATTCTAGAGAGGAAGTTTCAGCCAAAGAAAGTTTGCAGGGGACACTATCATGTAGATAATGGATAGGATAATGCTTTTGAAATGGGCTCCACATGGAAAAAGAGCTTAATTTTTGTTTCTTTAATAATATTTTTTCTGTAATATCTAATATATCTGAGTGAGAGGTTGTTTGGTTTTCGCTTAATAAGTTCTATAGTTTATAGGCTTATTCCTTCAGCCGTAAATATCTCTTCGGTTGTGGCTTATTCGATCAACCCATGACTTGATCGGTAAGCTAAAAAACTAGTCATATACACTCAGTCATTTATTGATCCATTAATTCCCTTTTTACCCTTCCCTTTATTTCGTCTTCTTCTCCCTTTACATCAAATCAACCAAACATTTGTTAAAATATTTCACCATTTTTTTCTCTAGTGCGTCTTCTCCTTCCTTTTTCTAGATATTAGAGACCTCTCAAGCTTCAAAGTTTAAACCATCAGCAGTATGTCGCTTCTCTTGTGTCGTTGCTCCTTCGATTTGTTTTTTTAAGCTAAACATTGATTTCGATCTCTATTCTTTGTAGATCTGGGTTCTGTACATTCTCTGGTTGTTTCTATTTTTGTTCTTTTTTCTTCAATCTGGGTTTTGTACATTCTCTGGTTGTTTTTCAGTTAGAAATTGATTTTTTTCATTTAGATCTATGTCTTAAAACCTCAAAGATGGAGGGCAGAGTTGAAAACCCACCCACAGTGGAGGAGGGATTGTTTGGCAGCTGATGAATGGTTTGGTGCAGAATGATTAGAAGACTCTCATGATATAGTGCAAAAAGAAATATAATTGTTTGGTAATTGTTTACAATGAAATTGGAGCGTTTAATGATTAAGGGAAACAAACAACCCGTTAGATTTCTGCATTGAAATCTCAATGATGTTGTTCGAGAGTTAAGGAGATGCCAAAAGATAATCTATTATGAGATATTATATAATCATGGTTCTAAATAAAATTAAATTCAATTATTATGTTGGATCAAGTCGTTTTAATCTAAAAGGCATTTAAATTATTATTATTTTCATCATTAGAAGCAACGTTTTTATCAAACAACTATTTTCTTCGGACAAAAATATAGACTGAGGGGTAAAATGGTCATTACTGACATTCAAACTGTTTATTTAGCTCAACAACCGAACAAAAATTTATTTGATATCATACAGACAGCTTTATTCATATAGGTCTTAATGGAAAACCAACCGCACAACCCCTAAATTACATAATTCATCCCTGTGCTTTGTTCCGACTCCAAGTATTGCCCTTGCTCGGAAAAATTACACCAACGCCTCCAACGTTTCAATTTTCTTTCATGGAAGGTACATCACCCTAACGGATGTTAAGTCCATACGTTAACTCAGGGACATTTTTGGTCATTTTTCATTTACTTTTATAAAAATAACTGAAATTAAAACCCATTGTATATTGGCAACGGGCTTGGGGATACCCCAGATCACAATTTCATCCTGGCCTCCACCTATCGGGGATTAACATTTGATCCACATCTCTGTTCCTATCGAGGAATCAACGATTTTCCGTCAGGGTTAGGTACATTATGTGAAAGTAAATTAAACCATTGAGGGTACGTGTGTAAGTTTTTCCAAAGTATGGCAATACCTTAGGTTGGAGTAAAGCAATTTACTCTAAGTTATTTTTTTATATGTTATCTAATTTGTACCAGTTTTACCACTTGTCTTAAGATCATGTGAGAACACGTTCGAAGGTGTGAATGATGGATCGTGTTCTCAATGTTTTCATCAAAAAAACTGTCACTGAAACTTAGCCATTTATATTATGAGCGAATTACTATATATACCAAGTCAAAGTAAATTGTATTTTGAGTGAATTACATGTTTGGTCCTTTACACTTTTTTATTGCATCAGGTTTTGAAATCAAAACGAATACGTATTCAGGACTCCTGGTTTGCATTTTTGTACTCCTTAAGTCCCTCCTTATAAGTATTGAAAAACATTTGTTAGGATGAGAGGCATTTTGGTCTTTTTCTTAAGTTCATCTATCTCTCCACCATCTGCAACCCGTGACAACCCACCCTCTTCTCCGATCAAGCTGTCAACATCCTATTGTAACCATCTTTATCTCCAGTAACCAACCACTGAAACCAAAAAAATAAGGATGTGATGTTTAGGGGTTATATATTTTTTTATTTAATAGGATAAAAACAATAAAAGGAGAAAAAGACTAAAATACCCCTGGATTAAACTGGGTTAACAAGATTTTCTTATTTTGTTACAAGGAAGGAATCAATGAATGCAAAAATAGAAACCAGGAGTCTGAAATCTGTACTTATTTTGATTTCAGGGATTGATACAATAAAAAGTGTAAACCACAAGGACCGAAGGTGTAATTCGTTCTTATATTTTCTCCAAAATTATATATCCTTTTTTGCTGCAAGCTGATTTTAGGGACGTATGTTTTCGTCCATTCATTAGTGAATGTTGTGAAATCCACCAAACTTAGGTTTCCAAATTGGCAGCAGTTCCAAGATGAACGATTGAAATCCAATCTCTTGTTTCATTCCTTTTTGTCCCTTGGCCTACATTTCTGGCAAATTGGTTATGATAATTGCTTCATGATTGCCTTTGGTGTCAATAGGAAAGAGATGAAGATAGAAGATGGCCATGGCCATGGCAATGAAAGCTCCAAGATGATTATCATTCACATATGAATAAACACATATTCATTATAAATTTTGATCGGTCTTGGAACATATTGATCATGCGTTCAAAGCCATGCCTTTACATTCAACCCAAGTCCATGAGCATCTGCATGCTTTGATCCTCATCTTGTCCCCTCTAAAGAAATCTTGTTCCACCTCTTTCATCCCTATTACAATCCTTCTAACCTTATGCCGCGGAGGGTCCAAGGTGAACGTTTACTTTATTATGCGTCGATGAACCGTTAGTTCGGCGGTCTGCATTCTTTAATCGGGGCTATTAGGTTCTCTTCGTCTTTTTCTTCTGTTTTCCGTTGTATATATCTATCTATCTCGATGGACTATGTGTCTTTAGAATTTCGATATTTCCTCAATCTCTCTGTGTTTCGTTGATTCTCCTTAAAATTCTGGTTTGAAACATATCATGATGACTAGAAACATGAAACATCTTTGGGATCTCCTCTTGTGCTCTAGGGGCGCGGTGTTTCGTTTCAAGGGGTGTCGGTTTTTACGTCAACAGACTCATCTGTAAACACGAATGGAGTTCAACATCAACTGGGAGGAAGGATCGGGGTAGGCAACATTTCAATACGTCCTCGTGTCCATCCGCAACTAAGGAGGATGGATCATTTTCTATTTGTTACGTGTGATCGTGGGTCCCATTTACTAGGAGGAAAAATGGGACCCACGAAATAAAGAACGAAAAATGTATTACCTGATATGTATGTATATGCCTCTCAACAACCACATGATTCTCCAAGCGGAATAAACTCCAATCATACACCCACCCTTTGCGATTAGAATGTTGAAGACGTGACGACCCTCAAGCCACTTGATGATACGAGATTGAATGTTTATCGACCGATCGATCGATCTCATGATGTTTTGTTTCGAACTTGGTTGATTAATGTAAAAGTAAGTATATAATTGATGTGAATTTATATTGTGTACATTATTTTGTAGACACCATTCTTTGTATGCCTTCAAAATCATACCATCACTAAATTCTTTTCGTCTTATCTACAAATTTAACATTGCATGTCAGTATTATCGTAAAAACATACAACAGTATCAAAATTGAACGACTCAAACGACTTTGGCCCTCTAAAACGTAGTTTTCTAGGACTTATAATGTCCGTATCGCATCATTACATTGTTTTCACAAAATCGAGTATCTACACCATCTTCGTTTTGTCCATCGTCGAGGCGAGAATATGGTTGTATTTATTATTTACTAGAAGGGTACTCGCACAATGCAGCGAGATACATCTCGATTTTAATGTTTCGTCTTATTTATTTTTTGTCTTAGTCGATGTTATAATACGGTTTTATGTGGTTTTAAGAAAGTGATAATGTTTTTATTTTTGAATAAAATATAAATATGAAAATATCATAAAATTTTGAAATAAATATTGATATTAATATCAAACTAACTATTTAAAATTTCTCATTTTCTTGTATATTTTTTTAATTCATTTTTTTTTGGTTTAATAATATATTTTTTTATTAAGATAATGATTAAATATTTTATTAAAACTCAATGATTATCTTAATTATATTTTAGATTTTTTATATCGAAAATTAGATGTTTATCTTCTATTTGATTATGTTTATCTGCAGTTGGTTATACAAATTCAAATATGAAGCTTTAGTAAGTTGTACTTATGCTCAATTTACTTGTAATCTTGAATTTTAAGTAATATGCATAAATAAACAGTACTTCATGCATAAAAAATGGTTTTTAAGAGTTTTTGTCAAATGCTTTATAATATAGTATAGATATCATGCTCAATGCCTCTAGTTCGTCTCTACTTCTGCAGTCTCATACCGTCTTTAAGTAAATAATTTGTAATAACAGATCTGCACTATATAGTTTTTCAATAAGAAATTTTTAATGGCAAATCTAGACCATACAGTCTTTAAATTAACTCTTAATGGTTGATCTACGCCATACCATCTTTAAAGTACGAAACTCTAAGTGGCCTATTTAGACCATCGAGTGTTTGAGTAAGGAACTCTTAATGGTCCATCTATAGAGTCGTTAAGGAGCTCTTAATGATCGACCCAGACCATACAATCTTTATATAAACAACTTTTAACGGATGGCCTAGGTCATAAAGTCTTTAAGATGACTCGTCTACGCCATACAGCACGGTCTTTTAAGTACGGAGCTTTTAGTAACAAGAAATATGTTGGTAAATCACGATCAAAAGGAGCTCCATTTTCTTATGGAAAATGGGTATCGTTGTCATCTTTTTCCGTCTGCGACCTCTTCTGTTGATTTTGATGGTTGAGGCTTGCCATTATAACTTGTTTTCGGGACCTAATTTCGAGATTTAGGACTATGATTTCAAATTTTTCCTAATTTTCGATGTTTAAGCATTTTTTTTTGCGATTTTGTATATAAACTACGTAAAAACAAAAGATTTACTTGATTTACGTGTTAGTTTTTAATAGAAAATTTCAGTAATTCAGATACCAATAATGACAATTGTCTCAAATAATTTAAATATTATTTCAAAAGTGAGATTTTCTTCAATTTATGATTAAATATTTCAGAATCAATTCTTTTCTTTAAATAAATTGTTAGAATGATGAAGCATTTGTGAAAATTATATAAGGAAATTAACAAAATAGTCATTTTTAAGGATCAAATTCATCTGTTAGAACTCGGACGATCACGAGACAATGATCCAACGTTGTCCTCCGAATCCCTACAAATTGGACATAAAACCGAGTACAAATCAATGTCGCGGTCACTCAAAGTAGTGTGAACCGGAAGTCGGTTGAGTAGAGCCCGTCAAACGAAGATGTTGAATTTTATAGAGAGAAGAGTACGCTTCCGGATGAGAGTCGCCATATCCGAGAATTTTATCTTCTATAAGGGGTTGTTTGTTTACCTCTTAATAGTTCCATTAAGAGGCAACTTCTGAATCGTTAAAGGGTGAATCTTGTTTGGCAAAAAAAGTCTACCTCTTAATGGTTTTAAAACCCTCTTAATGATTTTGTATATTGGATCTCCCTTAACCATTAAGAGCCCTAATTTCATTGTACACAATTACCAAACAATTATATTTCATTTTGCATTATATCATGAGAGCCTCTTAATCATTCTGACCACTTAATCATTCTGCACCAAATCATTCAGCAATTACCAAACAGTCCCTAAGTGTCTTTAACTTACTGACCGAGAATTGCTCGTTATTGTCTAGAAGCCACCACCACCTCTCCTAGTGATTACGAGAAGGATAAACACTTTGGGTTAAAACATAACGATCACCTAACTCATTGACGACCCGACCTCTAGGTGCCTATTCCAGCCACATTTTCAAACCCAACGGTCATCTTCCAGACATCCCCAACTCCCTGTTTTTACCCCCTTATCGCTTTCTAAACTAAACAATATATTATATCTATACTACCTTATAAACCATATTTATCAAAAGTCTTAAAAATAATTTTTAATTCACAAAGTACTATACATTTATGCAGAAAGTCTTAAAAACAACTCATAATGCATTAAGTACTACTACTTTATGCATTCAGTCTTAAAATCTCTTAATCTACAATTAAAATAACATATAGTACAAGTTACCACTACACATTATTACCTTTTCTTTTCATGTTCCCAAGATACTTTTGACACATTTCAGTTTCACTCATGCATCACCCTCTCATACCCCTATGTCTTCTCTCCATCCTCAAGGTGAGATTCAAACTGATATTCACCATGAGTTATTAAAAGTTCTCTCGTTCGATTGCTCTAGAACTCTCGGTCTCGCTCTCGATATATTGATTCTTTGCCCTTGGTGTAAATCGAACATATTTGTGGAGTCGTTTAAATATGTTGGATTTTAAATATATTGGATTTTAAATAGTCATAAATTTTTTTTCATCGATAGACTGTAATTAGAACCATAACTCTTATTTATTCAAATTGTATTAATATGTAAAGACTAAGTATAACTTATATCATCGTTAAATCTTCTCTACCAAAACCAGTAACACTTCAAAATCGTTAAAATTCACGGCTCCCGCCGCATTGCACGGGTACACAACTAGTTATTACAGATTTGTTTTAAATATATTATGAAACGTTAAAATTTACTAACTTTTGAACATGTCTATTTTAATCATTTTACGTTTTTCAACTTTTTCATCAGCTAGTTTTTCTTAAACGTAATAAGATGATCAGCTATTAACTAATTTACCAAACATTCCATAGAATGTTCGATTTCTTTTATTTTAAAAAGAAGTCCTTATTAATACTATATACATCATTGTCATTTTGCAGCTATCTATGACTTTGAACCTTCAAACTCCTTGTCTTAAATTTCCAACTACAGAATTTACGTATCATTTCTGTTCCATCAATAAATTTTTAAATTTATTTTAAATTTATTTAATTCATATTAACATTCTATCTTTAATCATATGTATTTACATCATGAATAAAAAAATTTGAGACTAAGATGCCGTTTACCAAATGCTTATCCGGATAATCACTTATCAAGTCACTTTACTTTACCGAATGAATATGACAAGGACTAAAAATCTTACCTAGTAAGAACGAAGGCAAGAATCGAGAGTTTTACCCGGTAAGTGAGGACGAGGACTTTTACCATGGCTAACGCTTACCGGGATAAATTGTTGCATACGATGCGTTTTAGTGAATAAAATTGTACCCAGTAAGTAAGCGAGAGTATTGAATTTTACCGATAAGTACTTACCGGATAAGTGTTTAAGCAAATGGCATCTTAGAAAATTCTAGACAAACATATCTGTCGCCATCATCACCCCCACTTATTAACAGTAGTTCTATCAGACACTATTTAATTACAGCCATACATTACTGTTTTCAATGGTCATGGTGCTGCTCTACAAACCTTTTTACTGCCATCATCCTGTTCACCTTTTTTACTATTTTTTTACATGAATTCTTAACGCATTTGGCTAAAATAATAATTCAACACAAAAGGCTGACTACAAAATAGACGTGGTTAAGAAAGTTGACTAACAGATTTCTAAAATAGCATAGCATAACTGTTTGAAGATGTTCATAAAGTACAGGTGTCAGAGATGCTAATAAAGTCTCCTTGCATTGCAGGCCACCATCTTTTGTCTCTACTTTCCTTCCTATCCTTTTCGTACCATTCATTTTATATGCAAGTTTTAGCTACAAACTTCCAATACTTGTAATTCAATTGATTTCTTACTTTACATTTCCTGGTCTTTTTTATCAACTTTTTTGACATTTTCTTGTATTTTTCCTTTCAATTCTAAACACTAAAAAAGGCAGGTACCCAACTGCTACTCCGACGACCTTGACTCTACTACTCGGTGATAGATCTTTTTTACATGGTTGGTGAGTTGCATGCAGTTTTGAATTGGTCCAATCCAACTAGTTGCCCTTTTCAAAGACTTGGACCAAACCCATTTGGGAGATTTACGTGTGTGAATTGGGTATTTAAAGATTGAATTCAATATAAGGTATACTTGTATTCAACAATTCGTAACTTCTGAAACTAATTGGTATGAGGGAGATGGAGAAAAATGGGATTTCATTACCTCAAGGAGAAGAAGATGATTATGATGATCTTGAACTATCCGTTGCTTTGGAGTACATGGGTCCTCAAGTCACTTATGAGCTTCTGAAGGTGCAGCCTTTAGAATCAAGAAAACCGGTCATCCGTGTGGTCGGTTCACCAAACCAAAGTTCGAGACTAACGGCTAGCTCTGACTCTGTAGCTTCAGATTCTTTCTCGGGTTCGCCTTCGGCATCTCCTGGTTCGATCCATGATCAACACGAAACTGATCATGAAGCGAGGAAAGGCCCTGTCGTCACTTTCAAGACTATTGATAGATCAGATAAGAAAGATGTGGTTAGTTATCCAGAAAATGTAACCATTTCAAGGAAGAAAAAGAAAACAAAATTTTGTTATAGATGTGGGAAAGGGAAGTGGGAAACTAAAGTGTCTTGTTTGGTGTGTGATGCTAAGTATTGTAGCAATTGTGTTCTTAGAGCGATGGGATCGATGCCCGAGGGGAGAAAGTGTGTTACTTGTATCGGGGAGGTGATTGATGAGTCGAAAAGGATGACTTTGGGCAAGAACTCACGGTTATTGGTTCGTCTGCTTAGTCCATTAGAAGTGAAGCAGATTATGAAAGCGGAGAAAGAAAGTTCTGCTAATCAGCTTCGACCCGAGCAGTTGATTGTGAACGGATCTCCGCTTAAACCCGATGAGATGGCGGAATTACTTGGCTGCCCTTTACCCCCACAAAAACTAAAACCTGGTGCATACTGGTATGATAAGGAGTCTGGTCTCTGGGGAAAGGTAGGCAACTATATTCATTTTGTATACACACTGTTTTCGGCTTTATATGGCACCAAATATGAAGTGTCCTAATAGATTTCTTTGGATGAACAAACAATCATTTGTGTCCTATGTAAAGGTGTTACACTAAGATTATAGGACGCTTCATATCAACTTACTGTAACACATTTACATAGGTCACTTTCACATGATTGTTTAGTCTTATAAACTAGGGAGTTCATTAGGACATTTAGAGCTTGTTTGTTAACAGCTTAACTAATTTCATGGGACTCATGGTTTATTCGGTCGGCTATACATGATTATTTGGTAGTGGCTTGATGATATAGAAAGTGGCTCGTTCAGTAAGCTTCTAGGGGGAAAGCCAAGTTTTATCCAAACCTACCCCCCCCCCCCAAAAAACATACTCCTACCAATGAAAGATCCTCCCAAACAAAAACTTCCCCCCCCAATTTAAAAAGCATATGCTCCTTCCATCTATGAAAAAACTCTCCCAAACAAAGACTGTGACTTATTAATCCACAAAGTTGGCTTTATCCATACAAAAACTCAATAGAAAACCAACCAAACAGCCCCTTAAGCATATTAATGTCTATTTTATTATAGTGACAGTATGTTGAACCAGTTTTCTTTATGTATGCTTTCCAGGACTTGAATGTTTTCATTTGATCTCTAACAGGTGGGAGAAAAACCAGATAGGGTGGTGAGTTCAAACCTAAGTTTCAGTGGGAAACTTGATCCTAAAACAAGCAATGGAAACACACAAGTTTACATAAATGGCAGAGAAATTACAAAATTGGAGTTGAAAGTGCTCAGGGTTAGTTTATTCATTTCCTTACCTCCAGACGCTAGAAATCTGGTTTATCTTGCTATAGTTGATTCAATTATATACACCATCATCCTGTATCATTACATCTTAAATCTGTTTGTTCAGCTTGCAGATGTGCAGTGTCCTCGCGATACCCATTTCTGGGTTTACGACGATGGTCGTTATGAGGAGGAAGGCCAGAACAATATTAAGGGAAATATCTGGGAAAAGGTATATAGAAATATCTTACAGGGGCTGTTTGTTTTGGCTTAATGATCTGTATGGCTTCTTCTACCAGCCATATGTATGTGTTTGTTTGTGGCTTAATGATGAAGCTGTAAGTAAAATTGGCTTCACAGACTCGGCAGTAACCTGCTAGCATCTTTTCTAAACAGGCGTCAACGCGGCTTCTCTGTTCTTTGTTATCATTGCCCGTGCCACACGGTCAGCCTCAACGAGAGACCAATGAAGCCAGAAATAATGCTACCGTTCCAAATTACTTGGAGCAGAAAAATATTCAGAAGCTTCTGTTATTTGGACTAGAGGGTTCTGGAACCAGCACTATCTTAAAGCAGGTATTTTCATTTCAATATTCTAACAAGAAAACCTTTATATTCATAACTAGCAGGTAACGAGGTGGACATCTTTGCAAAAAACCAGATGTACAAAATTTTACATACGTTTAAGATCGTAGTAATGTTTTGTATGCAGGCAAAATTCTTGTATGGAAACAGATTTAGCGATGAAGAGTTGCAAGATATTAAGCTTATGATTCAAAGTAATATATACAAATATATCAGCATTCTGCTTGACGGGAGGGAACGCTTCGAGGAAGAATTCATGAGCAGGAAGAACTCCTCGGAATCCCATGATGAAACCATCCAAACAGGTACTTTTATCTAAGAAATTTTATAGTTTTGAATCTTCTGATAGAAATTAATAGACTAGGAGGGCTCATAATCATAAATCTAGTTTCAGGTAGCATACCTGATGGCAATGGAACTGATCAATGTATCTACTCAATTAACCCGAGATTGAAAACATTTTCTGACTGGCTACTCGACATTATTGCCACTGGAGATTTGGATGCTTTCTTTCCTGCTGCAACGCGAGAGTATGCTCCCCTGGTGGAAGAGGTGTGGAAGGAAGATGCCATCCAGGAAACATATAAGAGGAGAGACGAACTTCATTTCCTTCCCGATGTTGCAGACTATTTCCTAAGCCGGGTACTTTACGAATTTAAAACCAAAAAAACCCAATAAATCCCACTTGGATGTAAGGTCTGGAGTAAGATGTATGCAAACCTTACCTCTGTCTCAAGAGACAGAGAGGCTGGGTACTTCATGAATTTGAATAACTGAAAGATCATGATCAAGAATTTCAAAATTGTTTTCTTGTGATCCTTTCAGGCTGTTGAGGTTTCTAGCAATGAATACGAACCTTGTGAGCAAGATATACTATATGCAGAAGGAGTGACCCAAGGTAATGGTATGGCGTTCGTTGAATTCTCCTTGGATGATCGTAGCCCGATTTCCGAGATATACTCAGACGATCCCGATGCTCAATTCTTGCCTCTTACCAGGTATCTATTATATCCATGAGAACTGGCCTCTCGTGGACAGCTTATTTATTCTAACCCTAATATGAAGAGTAAAATGTAGATTCTCCTTTTTAGCATCTTGACCGTCACCTATGAGTTTGGATGGTCAACCCTCGCTGCTCTACTCTTTTGGGTAGAGATCAGGTTTGCATATATCTCACCCTCCAGATCCCACCTCCGGGTTGGGATATTCCGTGCACGTTTGGTTTGATTTGGTTTACCATCACCTATTAGTTTGGATTTGTTATAACTATGACTTTCTATCTCCTTCACCCTTTAGATATCAACTCATCAGAATGAACGCCAAGGGGATGAACGAAGGATGTCGGTGGGTGGAAATGTTCGAGGATGTTCGTGTTGTCGTCTTTTGTGTTGCCCTGAGCGACTACAATCAAATGTGGCTTCCCAAGGAGGCCTCAGGGACCTCCACTGTACTTCAAAACAAGATGGAACAAAGCAAAGAACTCTTCGAAACAATGGTTAAGCACCCTTCATTCAAAGACATTCCTTTCGTGCTAATCCTAAACAAATACGACCTCTTTGAAGAGAAGCTTGCCCGGACCCCACTAACAACCTGTGAGTGGTTCGCCAATTTTAGCCCAGTGAAACCGTACACAAACCACAAAAACCTCGCTCAACAAGCCTACTATTTCGTAGCAATAAAATTCAAGGACCTGTATGCATCCCTAACGAATAGAAAGCTTTTTGTTTGTCAAACTAAGGCTAGAGACCGCGCTACAGTGGATGTAGCATTCAAGTACGTAAGAGAGATTGTCAAGTGGGATGATGAGAAAGAAATGGCTTATTATGGTGCAGAGTCAACAAGTTTTTGTAGTACTACTGATGCAAGCTCGACACCATTTAACGGACAAGGGTGAAGTGATGAAGACCAGTCTACCAGATACATCATATCTGGTTGCATTTCCTTTTATGATGTCGGGAACAAACTGAAGTTAGTTATATGTATTATGATGTCGGGAACAAACTAAAGTTATTTATATGTATGATATAGGGGCTAGTTTTTTCATGCATCAATAATTTTGTCATACCACCTTTTCACGAATTTCTTTAGAGAAAAATACAAATTTTAAGATGAAAGATGAGATATAATAATTCACCAAATCATTCTTATTTGGAAGAATCATTTGGTCCCAAGAAAGCTCAAGTTTTTTGTGCAAATATACCATTCTTGAATCAACTGCCCTATGTCTCATGGCTAAAGTTGTTTCTTCTTATAAGAAAGAACCAGAAAAACCAAACAGAAGAGATGGTTAGTAAAGCTCATCTCATTTCCCCAATTAACATCCAACAGATTGATAGTAAAGCCACATTAAGAAACAAAAACATTGCCAGGAGGAACAAAAATCAAAAGGCTATATTGAATCACATATGTATAAACTTAAAAAAGGAAACTATCCGCATATTATTTGCAGAAAGTTAGAACTCACTTCAGGCACTGATTGAAAACCCAGATTGCAGGTGGTTAGCCATAATATGCTTCAAAGATTGCATTCCTTCTGTGTAACAGGCTTCCTCTGCTGTTTCTACTCCTTTGTGTGAATAGATTCATTTTCTTGATACAAGAACACACTTGCAAATTGAAAAAACCATTCGATAACTCATCATTTCAACACATTGTTTCTACGTGAAGGACGAGATGGCTTCTTGGAGTAACAAGAGTTCCACTCGCCTCCATCTTGAGCATAATAATCCATTGGATAATCAGCAACATTCTCTCCACCCTTTAAATCACTGCCATAGTTGTTGCCACAACAAGTTTCAATCTTTCCACAGCAATCTGCACCATCATTGCAATTGGTGCTGGAATTATCTAAAACCACACATTTCCTCTCCCACCAACCAGGGTGATCCCCAAGAGCAATCTCGGCCTCAAATGGGGTCAATAATGGCTTAACAAAAGCATCCCCCCAATCAATTGACAACCTAGGGCATGCGATCTGAATCCAAGCATCAACTGAATCACCAAATAAAGCAATTCTTGCTGGAGATAGCTCCGACATCAATACAATCGTCCAAGATAAACCCTTTTCTCCCATTTTCTTCTCCAACCTATCAAGAATTCTTGGATTTCCCTGTCTTCCTAAAGTACCCAACACGATTCCCCAGTTTTTGGCATCTCGGGATTTTAATATAGCATTCTTTCTGCACTCTTTCATCCCCTTATGATCATATTCTTCTAAAAACAAAGACCCTATGTAAGGATCATATCGAAATGCCTTGATATTAGGGTTAGCAATCATAAATGCTTCTAAATGAAACCTACCATCTGCTACAAAAACTAAAACTACCTCACTTTCCTTGTTGAATTGACTCATTGGAATCGTTGGTGCAGTACACCCAAGAATCTCACCTGCTGACAAAGGCTTAGATTGAGGAATCAGAACCTTAAACCCTGCGCTTTCCAATTCAGGTTTGGAAGCTCGAATCGCTGTTGCAAATTGTATCGTACCGGCGAGAATGAGCTGCTTTGTAGTGATTGAGGTATCAAAATTCAACTTCACAGTATTAATTAACCGTTCAACATCGATTTTAATATCGACGAAGACGTAGAGGCAGGGGATGACGGTGTTATCTACAGGAACAAGGCAGCTGTGACCGTAATGGATGAGTAGATCGGCGTCGAGAGCCGCGGCGGAAAGGTCGTCGACACAGCAGGCGCCGTAAGTGACGTCACCGAGGACGAAGCATCGGTCGACGTCGGCGAAAGTGGTGATGATGTCGGAGATGACTAGGGAGTACATGAGGAGGCCTTCAGGGAACTGAAGAGCAACGCGCTTGGCACCGGTAGAGCGGACACGCCAGACGGATTTATGGATTTCGAAGTTGTAGTTGGATGGGAGGGCGGCGATGACGGCGTTGAGAGCCGGATCGTTGGTGATGGAATCTGGAATTTGATTCTTTATGAAACGCTTCGGCTGACGAGGCGGTGGCCGTCGGATTTCTTCATTAGTGGTGGCGTTAGTATGAGTCGACGGCAGAAGCTCCATCGTCGGTGAAACAATGAGCGCCTGTATGCGGTGGTTGTTGGGGGTTTTAAGTTGTTCCTTTGATCTCAAATTAGGTTTCATTTGTTAAAAATTAAGAATATCGTTCTTGTATTAACGGTCCCTATGGTTTGTAATGTTTTACAAATTTAGTCCCTCTAATTAACACCATTAAAACCATTTGTTGACTAAAAAAAATGTAATCTTATCATATCATATCATATCATATCATATCATATCATATGCATATATAATATATGAACCATTCTTTTTTCTGTAGTTTTGTTCTGATATTCAAGGACAGACCTATAATGATGCATATGGTGGCACGTGTTACTGTATTATTCCTTCGTTAAAGGATTAAAAAAAATTAGATTCGTGAAAGGTGAAACCGTATTAATCTGTTGTGCGTCATCGTAAGTATTTTGAAATTACAATGAGAACAAGTTTTATTTGGTAGAGTTGGTTTGCATGGTTTTTATTCCACCCTAGACCCAAGTTCAAATCATGTTAGTGTAATTTTCTTAGTCAAATGGTGCCACTTTTTGAAGAAAAAAAATCTGTATATTTGTTTTTTACAGTTAAATAGTGTCACCGTTTGAACTTTTTTCCCTATAGTTTTTTCTTATAGTCAAATGATGTCACCGCTTGAGGAGCGATGAGGAGTAGTGATGACAAGGACGACGATGAACAGAGAAAACAGGTGCAATATTAATCTTTCAAGATATTAACCACTTAATATAGTACTGCTGGTGTCAAATGAGGTGTTGAAGGGGGCTCCTACAAGAATCATACGACATTTTGCAATTACCAAACAGTTACACCTCATCGAATTAAAAAGTACATCTGAAATATGCTCATTAAGTGGCTATCAGACAACCCCTAATGAATTCTTACCATTCTTCTTGAAAAACATTTGAAATGCTTGATAAAAAATAATACAGATGATACTATAAACAAGTCAGATAACATGTAAAAATAAATACTAGTCAAATTAAGTACAAATATTGATACGTAGATTATAGTTCTAGTTTATTTGAAGGTTTTTCCTGATAAACTACTCTACTGTTAAATACGAGCATGAGATGTCGCATCTGCCTCTAGCTATGAAAGTCAAAGGGAACCCACATTACAGGGTTCATCTTCTCAAAAGGATGAATTGGTTTCCTCTCCCCATGCCACGCTACCATCCCCTACAGAGGAATTTGTTTCCTCTGCACTAGCTAATTTCCCACCTTGTTTAGAGCAAGGCCTAGGTGCACAAGACTTAAGGACTCTCGACAGGTCTCTAAGTCCACTCAATGAGGACCCTTCATCAGTAAATTTCTTGAGTAGCGAGAATCTTTCCTCAGAGGCACGGAATTCTGAATCTGGTGAATTCATTTACTCTAAAACCACCACTTTTTATACCTTTTGTAGATCTTTTATTTGCCCAATTTAAACACTCGAGTCTTTTAAATATTTTATTTTACACTTCTTAAGTCTAGTACAAAGTCATGAATAATTTCTGCTTTAAGGAGGCCTTAAAAGCCTGTGCTTAATCTTGAACCATTCATTTGTGGCCCGTGGTGAGTGTCTAAATGGTTGAAATCATTGTTTTCCAAGTGTTTATTGCATGTATTCAAGTTTTCAAATGAAATTTTATGCACAAGTTACTAAATCCTACAACAATCTATAGCACTGTCTTTACTTTAATTTGCTGTTTTCCGCTTTACATTCTCGCATTACTTTTCAGTTATTTACATTACAATATTTTGTTTTCTGCAATTTGCTTTCAATTATTTACATTTTCAAGAAATTTACTTTCTGTATTCACTTTAGAATTTAATAACTTAGGCAACAAGTTTCCTTTTTATACTTTAACATCAGTAGTTCACATTTTGCATTTTCCATCTCTGATATTTACTTTACAATCTGCACATCTTTCATAATAAGAATTCGAGTAATGATGGACTACATGCGTTAACTTGGGGTGTAATTAAAAGTTAAGATTGAAATCAATGTAAAATTGGAAAGTTATCTCAAATATAGTATTTTTATCCGAACTATTTATTTCAAGTTATTAATGTTTAATTAAAGATTACATTTAGTTAATTGACAATTGATTTTATGTATGAAAATATATTAACTTTCAGAGTTAAAATAAAGAGAAATTTATAAAACTAACCGGTTTACACAACCTTTTGCCACAAAATAAACACATTTTAGAGTTTTTGCCGGAATGACCACCCGGATCGCCCCCGGGGGAGATCCGTACTATATGGGGGGCGATCCCCCCTTAAGTCTTAAAAAACAAAATTACCCTCAAAAGTCGAGATATAATATCTGATTGACGAAATTTGACCCTATTTTGTCATTTTGTGTTTTTTATTTAACAATTAAGGGGTGTTTTTAATAAAAATGGAAAAATACATAAAGTGTGTCTTTTTACGTATTTAATTTTAAATCGGAAGGTACTCTAAAACACTATTTATATCTTGGAATAAACCGCCACTTCGAAGATACACACAAACATTATCACTTTGACGTGATTTCATGTTTTGTGATGGTTGATTGTGTTTAGTGGGTTAAAGGTTGTGATGGTTTATTGTGTTTAATGGGTTAAGGGTTGTGAGAGTAAAATATATGAGAAGAGAAATGGAAGGGAAGGTGTGAAAAATTATGAAGTAGGAGGTTGGTATTTATAGTAAAATTGGTATTAGAAAAAAAAATCAAAATTTTTTTTAACCCGGATCGCCCCGGGGGCGAGGTCAAAGCACGGTCAACGAGGAATGAATAGTAATCTCGACTTTTGAGGGTAATTTTTTTTAAAAAGACTTAAGGGGGGATCGCCCCCCATATAGTACGGATCTCCCCCGGGGGCGATCCGGGTGGTCATTCCGGCAAAAACTCTAAAATATGGTTATTTTGTGGCAAAGGATTGTGTAAACCGGTTAGTTTTATAAATTTCCCTAAAATAAATATGAAAACCTGAGGTAACATGAAAAGGCTGTAAATAGCTTTAGTACCTGACAAGTATTATATTCTTATGATGTAAGATGGTAACATTATGTCGTGCTAAGATTCATGACGTTTAATATAAATAATGTCGTAACGATAACAAGTAGGCATGTATGTACTCTTGAAAGATCATCTGACCCGATAAGTAAATATTTGTCACAATATAATTGTACTAACTCATAGTACCACTGTGATGTAAGAAAAAATATAATATCTTTTTAATAGATCATTTGTCTTTGTCTTAACAAACTTATGCATCATTTACTTTTTTGACGACTGATTTTTCTAATGATAACTCGTACACAACTAAAAGATTTCTAATCAACTCGTCATCTGAATTTAGTTTTCAAAAAAATTGGACTTTCGATAAACTTTTACACAAGTATTCCCTGAAGAACGATATCTAGTACTTTTACCATTATTACTTTTTACGAGACCACAGTAGACCATAATGTATACCTACACTTGAGATCTATTTGCATGAATCTTTGAGGTTGTTTAAGCCATTACAAACACATTTTGTCCCACTCAGCCCTATTTTTAATGTCGCGCCAAAAGTTAAACAAGTTTTTGTAAGACTCACATAGCAAACGCACCCAGAAAGGACAATTTTAGCCATGCAAGTACAAACATGATTCAGACACCAAAAGTGAGGTACAGAAGAGACTCGATTCGAAGTTAAATAAATTGTCGTTGGAAGGATGTAAATGAAACAAGTATCATACATAAAGACTAACATCTTTCAAGAATTAATTGTTACAAAACAAGAGACAACAATGAAAAAGGACTTAAGATGCAACTAAATCGGGTGTTTCTGCTTCCACAGATATCAAAGCGGTGTGTACCTTCCCGACCCAGTTGTCCAGCCGATCACGCAAAGATTTTATTTGAGTTATCCCCAAAACTCTAGGTTGCACCCATGATATGTAAACTGTTCCATCTACTTGATCGATTATCCCCTCGATAAGATGCACCTGCAATGCATACAGTAAAATAGTAAATGACACATATCCCTCTTGTAAACAGAAATCTGCATGCCCAGATGATGTCAAGAAAAGAGGATAAAAAGCAAACAATCACTATGCCGGTCAGAAAATTGCCTCTAGTTACTAATCATAGATCATGTTATTTATATAGGATACAACAAATAATTGATACCCAGTCCTGTTGCTTCCCCAGATCAAGACCCTTGTAGAAAGATCAGGAGGTAAAACGAAAGCATAAAAATGGTTCATGTTCCATGACGTTCACCATGATACAACTTTTAGGACGATCTTCTCCATCAAGCTATAAATATGGCAGATTGCTGATAGATCTAATCCCCAAATGTTAGTTTAGATTGTCATCAACTGACTTTGGAAATGACATTCACTCTTTAACATATTCCTAAATTCCAACTTAAGGTAATAAATACCCCTAAAATTAGAACCAAAAGCTAAGTTTTTAAGTCGTGAACATCAACCTATGATAAATATAATGAATTTCATCACTGAAGTCTTCCAGGGTAGTGATTCGGCAGTAGACAGTTTTGTTCAATTATCCACTCCATGGTTTATCATAAAGTTATCATGGAGTAATTAGAACCGCCTGATTGGAGAACACCCAAATACTGGAGGTTTAGTCACCCAAGCATCTCAGATGATTTATTAGAGAAGCAGATTGACAGATGAGCAAGTATAACTTAGCATCCTCCATAGTTTCATTACAAGAAATGGTTCACTCCTTCTGTATGATACATAACGTAGGAGCATAGAGCTTAAAAAACAGTGTAACAACATCATTATTATTAGATTTTACGTATTTGGACAGTTAGATTTAGATTATTTCACTTCAGTGAAAGAGAGAGGAGAAGGAAACACTAATGCTGATTCTGACATTCTGGCATTTTGTTTGAGGCAATTAGAAGCTATTTTAAGGATATAAGAATGGTAACCGCTGCTCAACCTTTCATCCAAGTAGCTTAATGGTGAGAACAAGAGACTGTCATTGAAGATGTCTATATGGTTGTGAATGCAGGCAAGAACAAGAGATTATGTCATCAAAAACATCTAGCCTTGTTGTACACATTTCCTCAGCTTGGACAGGATAAATAACTTTTGTTTCACTGGCCTTTTGCCTAAATTAGTGTCCTTGTGCACAGAAGAATAGGGCTGATCATAAGGCACACAAACCCTTTTCTATTCTTGGAGTGGAAGAGTAGTTATAGTTCTGGATTGCTTAATATTCAATATATACATATATTTACACATGTGTGTGTTTGGAATGGAACAAGGGGAGAGACCATTCCCGCTTGTTAAGTCATCCCTGATCTAGAAGGGATTGCAACTTCATGGACATTTTCCCATTTCGATGTTCTAAACAATTAATATTCCTTAGACTAAGAACAAGTATACTTACAGATAAACTCTTCATGAGAAGATATTCTACATCTTCAACAGTCAGTTTTGTCCGCTCTGCAATGATACTCAATGGAATGGTTCTCTCTTCTGATGGTCGACTGCAAGCAAAAAAAAATGCATTAAATACTTCTACAGTTATGTTTATTATTTGGGATTCTCTGATGCACAAAGTCAAGAGATATAAAGATTGTGTTAAGAAATTAGAAACCTGAAAATAATTTCCATCAAACAGAGAATGTTAATCTTTTCCAAAAGCTTCTTCTCGTTCTCCACTAAAGCAGGCTGAGCATTAAGAGAAGCTGCATGAACACGACATAGTTCTTGATAGCGAACTAGATCTCCGGAGTTGAATGCTTCAAGAATATAGTAGAGCCATTCAACCTTTGTCCCTAGCAGACTTTTTATCTGCACGAGTTCACAGACAGCATACACTAAGATTCACAAAGAACTAAAGTGAAACACTTCCTCTAAAAGCCATAAAACACAGCAGGTAACTGCAATTCAAATTAATAAAATCATTTTTTATCACGAGTCTCGCAGCATTTTGAATTCTAATCATCATGAAGCAACTCTCAAAGTGCTATCAGTGCATCTTCTGCATTATATTAACACACTAGAAATTTAATATGTAAACTTCTATAGCATGCATACGAACTTTATTATGAGATAATAAACAAGAATCGCTGATTAAATAGATATGGTTTGAAGAAAATCAAGTGAATTTGAAACTTAAGATTTTCATGTTGTAGGGCAGAGGGAACCATGTCATGTTGGAAGATGACGAGATACACTTACTATTGGATGCGCAAGTAGTTCTCCGAAGTTGTAGATGTTATCTCCCAGCAATGCAGATAATGATAGATCAAATGCAAGATCCTAGAAACAGAAAGTAAAACAGTGAGATATAAAATCAGGAATCAAGGACATGGCAAGGTATATACACTATTTAAAATTTCATTCTTTCATGTAGCATTAAAAGGCATTAATAGAGCTAGGCAAGTGACCTACCACTTTCCACACTCTTGTCTCACTGGAGATTAAGTGGATGCATTAAGCAGTTCATTTTAATATGCAGGTATAATGAATTTTTAGATTATATTAGCATAAGGAAGTTAAAATGAATGATTTATATAATTCCTTTTTCCAAATGACCAATTCCATTGTTGATTGTCCCACTAATAAGCATGGATTGGAACGATTACCTCCAAATCGAGAAAAGTTAATGATAAAAACAAGGTGGAAGAAAATGTCAGAGTAGTGACACACTGTCTCTCCCACGATTTCACCAATAAGTGGATTACAAATGTTTCTTTGTACGTTCAACTTATTAGTTTATTCAAATTAGGCAAGAAGTTTCAGCTTCCATTACTCACTTTTCTATGCCTATCATCAGATTAAGCAATAACCACAAAATCACATTGTTTATAGTTAGACATATAGCTACGTCCAAATTTTCTTAAAACATATTAAGCTGCAAAAGATAGAAGCTCACTTCAATTTTTTTTTTTTTTTTTTTTTTTGTAAGGGTGTCCGGGCCAACGCCCGACTAATCCCCGGCAATTTTGGAGGATAAACATGGCCCCACTTAAATGTCGCCAACACTCCCCTCCCAGGTCTCGAACTTGGGTTCATGACTATGCCATGCCCAAGCCTTTACCACTAGGCTGGAAGGTCTTTGACAGCTCACTTCAATTTGGGTGCAATATTTTTCAAATTGAGCCAACAGGGACCTCCTTGCTTAATTTATTTTCTGATTAATAGGGTAACCCATATAAGTCCCCGTCTAGCCAATTAATCCTAATTAATTTCCATATTTCTAAACACTTCATTCAAAATTCAATTATTAACTGCTAATCCAAGTGGTTGGGACACTTAATACTTGTGAAGCCTATCTGGAGAAAAAAATTTAGGACACTCCCGCATATAGATATTAAGATATATACTTATATAATTGTCAATGGATACATCCATGATCCATGTAGACATAATATGTTTGTATCCAGGAATATGTTGTAATTTTGTGAGTGGAAAGCTTCTCCAATCCCATATCTCTTATGATGTAACACTGCTACCTGACACTGATTATAGACACTATAATTCCAATCACCAGTTTATTAGGGTGTTAAACATTCAAATTCTGATGAAATTGGATAATCGCATGAACCTTGATAAGAAAAAGAGGCATTAAACCACTTCAGGTTGTATTAAAGCATACCAGCTTAAATGAATCTGACAGAGATTCTACGGAGGTGTAAGCCAAATAAAGTAGAGAACTCTTGTAGAACTCAGCAAACTCCTGTCGAGATTTATGATACTGAGATGACACCCAATAATAGTTGGCATATACGGACGGATCAATGTCAGTCATACTATCAAGCGTACTCTTTCCATCATCTAGAAGATTCTTGCACTCCTTCTGATCTCCCTTTTCAAGATTAAAGACAGCTATCTGCATCTTAATGTAAAGGATTGGCTCCTCTATGCGCATCTCTTTTGTGGCTCGGAGCTTTTCGATCACTCCTTCAAGATAGCTAATGGCAGCTTCTTTCTCTGAATATTGCCTAGAGACAGTAACAGCAAAATGTGCCAGCTTGAGAAGGTTGATCTTAGTCTCGAAGTCGGTGATGAAATTATGATATAGCTGTATGAGAGCATCACCAGCCTGAAATACAAATACGGAAGGAATTGCATGAGCATAAATGTGAAATTGACAAAAGGAAGTTCTTTGATAACATGTCTTGCTTGATCACCGACAAACAAATCCATGACATCAAAGTGGAAAGAGAAGGAAAACATGGAACTTGAAAAATCCATAAACTCAATTAAAAAAGAGTGTACAAGTGTTATATACTATATGCCTCTTGACAGCCTGTAAATGCACACAATCAGAATTTCAATACATATCAACCATCAAAAAGAAGGGTGAAAAAGATATTCTTAAAATTATGTTCTGCAAAATTATAGTACTTCAATATAACAGTAACTGGGCACTGTCCTATTTGCTGCTTCTTGCACTTCTTCCTATAAAACCCATTTCTCATCATGTTATAAGGCAGCAATAGGATGTGCTAGGACAAAGGGCGCAATCAGGAACCAACCATGCTCTTAGTGACTTGGTCATTACTCATTAGTATTACAGGTTTATCAATGCTAAGCTGCTATCTCAAAGATATTAAGAAGAACCTGTTATAAAATTTCCAACCCAAACCCATTTAGGTACCATGCATAAGTATCATCAGTGGCTAGAATGATCTATTAACAACAACCAGTAGCAAGTGATGAACAACACTAGCTACAATAATCTATTATAGAGGAAAGCAATCAGAGAGTTTGATGTTATGAAGATTTAAAAGTCTTAACACATACCTCAAACAAACAAGAAAACAAGATAGTGTTGCACATAGTTAGCATGGAAATTCTACTTCTTCATAGAAAACATACAAGAATAAAATTTCTCTTGCTACCGTAGCTGTCTTATGCCATAAAAGTGTGTAGACATCAAAGTCAGTAAAGTTACATGCCTATCTAAAAAATGCATTCATTACTAAGTCTTGTCACTAACGTATTGATATGGCTGTTAAAATATGGTTATAGGATTCAAAAGGCTCAAACATATAAACTTAGGGGTTGTTTTTTAAAATTCATGAATAAGTGTTGTATGAGTATATATATTTGTATGGATACAGGTTTTATCCGTAATAAGTGGTAAATAACAAATTACTGCTTGTTAAATGTGTTGAATGAGAAAAAATTTCAGAGGAGGCGGTCATACATCTTGGGGTATTCTATGAAAATCTGAGAGGTTATAAGGAAAATCTTATGAGCTTATACAGAATGGCAAAAGAAATTAGTCAGTGTCCAACATAAATTTCTATGTATCAGTGCCAGAAGAAATGCAATAGCTACTTTTAAATCTCAAGTATTCAAGATTCCAAGCTCTTACAATCAATCCATTTCTCCTACTTGTATAGGTGTATTAAATGTGTCATAAACATTGTTACACCATCACACTATATTATTCCATTTACTATTTGGCTAGATGCCTATAAAGTATAAACAAATATAATCTAATCAACTATAAAACACACAAAATCACTCCTCAGTCTTCTTTAGATAAATAAGGCAAATCAAAGTATCCAAAAACTTCTTTCCCTTGGTTATCCCTAAAAAAAGAATACACACTCCATTCTTGAAAACCGGAACTTATAATATTTGCAGCCAAACACATTACTTTTCATATGTAAAAAAGATATCGACTTGGGTACAAATTTAACACTAGAACGCAGGAGTGCTTTTAACCCATGCCAAATCCTCGTATATTTAAGCTCCATGAGTATAGCTCTTCACAGGTGTGGTAGTGTGAGCATTGGATGAGACATTGATCTTATTCCGTAATCATTGGCGAAAGAATACAAGCGACAAGGACGGTATTTATGGTCTCTATTTAAAATGAAAAGATAAAATTTCAAGGATCAAAGTTTTGGAAATTAAGGCTAAAGGTCTAAAGTAAACTCACTAATAAAAAAGCAAGGCAAAACAATAAGAACATACTAGCAAGGTCGCACTATGTAGAAGTAACAGCAATATATGGCTTAAGCCTCATGTATGTTCTAATTCAAATATTTAACGTATAAACTATGAGATACTTTTTTATTTATTGGCTTGGCTTTAGACTTATTTACTGTATAATCCTACAAAACATACTCTCACCCGGCATCCTCAAATTTTAGAATCGTTAAATTCTGGCACTCAGGAAACAAGATATGGACGTTTTCATTGCAACATATATTTAACATGAATGTTCTTCTATTAGTAGTATATTCACAAGGTATAATCAAGTTACCAACTTTACACTTAATACTCAGCAGAATTCATAGCAATTCTAATTCCACAAAATTACAATATTGGACGTCAAAGTGAAAGTGGACGAATAACACACCAAAAGCTCTGACTTTATAGAAACCAACACAAATCACCAACTCAGATCTCCAACCCCAGATTTTCATCAACAAAACACCGTTTCCCAAAATCGGTAACAATTAAATCAACCGATGTACACACACACATATATATATATATCGAGAAAGACCTGGAATACAGCGAGTGCAACAAATTGTTCAAGCTTGAGAGTGAGTTGGTGCCATAGCTTCCTCTGGTACAGATCGGCAAGCGTATTATACCAATCGGAGAGCTCCGGATGAGTACTACGAAGAGAATCTAGATACTGAAGAGCTGCCATCGCCGACTGACTCCCGATGATGATGTCACAACTGTCGTCGGAGGGAGGATTAAGAACCGGAGCGTGGGGATTAGTATATAAACCCTTGTTTCGGTGTTTCTTTTCCTCAAAGAAACGAACGATTGATTTTGGGGATGAATCCAATCAATTAAATTTTTTATTTAAACCCGACCCGTTTCCTTACAAAATGGGCGCACTCTCTCCAATCCTTCTTTTGTTTTCCTTTTTGTAAATTACATCAAAATTGCAGAGTTCTTTATGGACAAAAGTTATCATTCTCAGTTATTTTATCGAGTAACATTGTTAATCATCAGAATTGTTAAAAACGTTTTTTATCCGGTAAATGTTTATTGGGTAAGAGTTTTCTCCCTCATTTATCAAGTAAGATTCTTTGTCTTGCTGTATCTCATACCGGGTAACATTTTTGGTTCATGTCATATTCATCCAATAAGGTAAGTGACACCTTCCTCGATAAGTGATGAGAGGCCATCCAATGACCCGAATGATGAAGATCCATTGAGATGGAAGATTGGACCAATCACAGTTTCCAAGTCCAAGACGTTCAATGATGCTCTCAGTGGTTTGATAAAATCTTGTCAGAAACAATCTCTCATCACTTCATCAAGTAGCCAAGGAAATCTTCAAATTCAAGCCATGATGGATGAGATACGGCGAATAATGACAAAGGAATCTAACCAAGTTCATGAAAGAATGAATCGAATATAGGCAAACGCACGAAGGCAACCATCTCGTGATGGTTCTGTTGTGAATCAGGAAGAAAATGCAAGAAGCAACGAATGGGATAGGGAATCTGAAAGGAGATCGGCTAGGAGGAGACGGCGTATAGACAATAATTATAGTTCCATAAAGATGAAAGTTCCTTCTTTTCACCTCGATTGGGAGATGAAAATGGAGTTCATCTTTGCTTGCCATGAATACTCCAATCGTAAGAAGGTAAAACTTGTTGTTATTGAGTTTTCTGATCATGCATTAACATGATGGGATCAGCTTCTGATTAGCAAGCAAATAAATGGAGAATGGTCTATTGAGAGTCGGGCAGGAAATGATGACGGTCATGAGGAGATGTTTTGTGCCTTGTCACTACTTCCGTGACCTTCCCAACAAGCTCCAAAATCTCAAGCTAGGAAACAAGTATGTTGAAGATTACTTTACAGGGAAGTCTCCGTTGAGGCTTTAGAATTTTGTGAGAATTTTGATTGTTTTTGTTTTTGTTTTTGTTGTAGATTCGTTTTTATTTTTTTTATAGTTTTTTAATTTGTAATTTTGTAAGAAAAAACACCAACAATAAAATAACATTTTCAGGCATCGCAATCCTGATTTTCTTTTTCTCGAACTTTGCTTTTTTTATTGATGTAATTATCATCAAAATATTAAATTAATTACACTATTCATTTTCGTTGGTTACACCCAATTTTTTTTATTTGTTTATCTCATGCAACTCTATTTGTCATTTACATAACAATAATTGAACACACACACACATACATGTATGTATTCAATATATATAATCAAAATATCTGAAAACTTATTTATATAAATGAAAATACGATCAATGTATGTGTATTTTTATTTACATACTTGAATATTATATATATATATATATATATATATATATATATAGGGTTGGGTTCACGTGAGACCAACCTGTTTTCGTGAGACCCATGAGACCACATTTTTACACATAGACTTCACAGCAAAAACGCTGTGAAGGTTTAAAAAAAGTCGAACCTTCACAGCAAAAACACTGTGAAGGTTTTAAAAAGTTACCTTCACAGCATTTTGCTATGAAGTTTCAAGTGTAAAATGTTGGTCTCACGGGTCTCACGAAAACATGCTAGTCTCACATGATCCCAGTCTCTCTCTCTCTCTCTCTCTCTCTCTCTATATATATATATATATATATAGGAGCGATCAAATACAAACCACTTAATTTGTACAAGCCGTGCAAACTTCATTCAACCAATCATAATTTTTCATTTTGTTTATTTTTTTTGTAATTATGAGAGGTTGATTAATCATTTTTATTGTGGAGGGTGTTAATCATAGATATTATCATCTTCATTATTTTAATTTTACAAAAATAACAGTTTCATTAATTTTAGAGAAATACATGAAACAGTTTCATTAAGTATTATATGAAACAATTTCACAAGATTAAACAATTTCATGAAAAAATT